TCGGAAGAGTAAAAGTGGAAAACTCGTGGGTTGAGATAAGAGTTTGATAATTGAAATAAAATAAAATAATAATGATGATAATAATAATAATAATAGAATATACAAAGCAAGTGCAATTGCTCACCACCCGCCAACCGATGCCCAGCCCGTCCCCAAGCATCAGCCCCCCCGGCCAGCTTTCCCCAGTTTATGTACTGGGCATGACGTCCCATGGTATGGAATGTCCCTTTGGCCAGTTGGGGTCAGCTGTCCTGGCCGTGCCCCCTCCCAGCTTCTTGTGCACCTCCAGCCTTCTCAGTCGGTAGAGCGTGGGAAGCTGAAAAGTCCTTGACTAGTGTAAGCGCCACTTAGCAACAACTAAAACATCGGTGTGTTATCAACATCGTTCTCATCCTAAATCCAACACACAGCACTGTACCAGCTACTAGGAAGAAAATGATCTATCCCAGCCGAAACCAGGACAGGCAGTGTGCAAGCAGAGCAGTGACTGCCAGAATTGACAGAAAAAGGGTTTGTGGGGCAGGCAAGACTCTCTCCTGCCACAGAAAGGACACATTTCAGAGACAGGCACTCACTGGAGCAAAAACCATGGCGAGACCCCCCTGTTCCCAGAAAAAGCGGATTTGCTCTGATGCTGGGTTAAACTTCCCACGCGGGGCACTGGCCTTTGAGCACGAGAGCCAGGGTCTCAGGTCCAAGGTGGGCTTGTGTGTGCTGCCCACAGGGCTTGTTCCCCAAACTGGTCCTCCACAGCAACCCTTTGTGGGGTGCTCAGGTTGCTTTGCTGAAGTGTAGCAGTGTGGTTTGTAAAGCCCATCTCTTGTAAAACCCACCTGGAGACCTGCTTTTAAAAAGAGCTTGGTGGGTTTTAAGACAGGAGTTTTTCTTGCAAGTGTGCCCAGGGTCTCTGTGTTGGTGTGTTAACCTTGGAGCCTCCTGCAGAAGCAACTGTTGGCATCTCAGAGTGGTTTATAGCACCAACATCCGGCAAGTCCTGTTCCTCAGAGAGCTTAGCTTGCCTCGCTGCGCCACAGTGTTGCTTGCTTGGGTGTTTGGCTCCTGGGGCTTCCCTGCCAGGCAGCAGCAGCTTGGTGCAATGGGGGCAGTGGGGTAGCAGAGGATTTGGAGTGGGATTTGTGTTACTTACAGGCTCACGCTGTGCAATGATGATCTATGTGTCAGCTGGGAGTTTGCTTTTCATGATTACACGATGTGCTGATCACATTTACTTAGCCCAGGAATTCGCTTTCTGCAATGGGGCTTGATCACTGGGCCAAGCCCTTGGAGGAGCTGAAGGAACAAACTTCCAGGCTTCAGATGTGGAGTTTCATCCTGGTGTGCAGGGAATCTGCCCGCATGGCTGCTTTGGAACCTCTTCTTATAGGATCAGTGTAAAGTACTCGGCAGCTCTGGTGCTGAGCAGCTGTGCTGAAGCAGCAGCTTGTGAGCAGGAGGGCTGGTGCAGCTCCCCACGAGAGTTGGCAGAGCTGAGATTCTGCTTGCTGACCCACTTCCACCGCAGCATAGGAGCCGCTTCTCCCCCAGCCCGGGTTTGCAGCTCTGGAGATTGCACCCGTATGCATTTGTGAGGACTGGCAATGGCCACAGCTCCGAGCTGGGCTTCTGTACTGTTTATGAATAAATGTCAAAACAGTGTCTCATCCCTCTGCTCCAAACAGCAAAACAAAACAAAACAAGTTCCTTTGTATCCAAGAAGAAAATTATTAGCAGGAAACTAAACTGCTGTCTAACTTCAAGTATGAACATTTCTGTTCCAAACCCTAACGTTCTCCCGGGATATCGGTTATAAATTTGTCAAATCTGTTATCCCTTTGAAAAGGCTGTGCTCGATCCAGAAAGGGAATTGAGAAGGGAATACATTGCAGGGATCCCTATTCTTTGTGTGAAAACAGAATATATCTGAAATACAGCTGACAGAAAAGTGACACTGGGTGGAAATAAGCAACCTCGCCAGGCTTTCTGAGTATGGTTTCACTTACATATGTAACTCAGCATGTGTGCCTCCCTCTTCAGAAGTAATGTGTTGCCGGAGAGGGATGTGTGAATGGCTTTGAAACTCTCAGGGAATTTCCACTAAAGGAGGGTGTGGCAGGTGGGACTGACAGTGGCTCTGAGAGTTTTGGCATTTCCCTGATAATTTAGTTTGTTTGTTATGTTTGGTTATGAGTAAAAGCTCGGTTTACTGTGGACCCCCCTGGTCTTTGGATGCGGGTTTCCACTGCTCGGAAACCTCCCCACAGCCATCTCTGCTCGGCGCTGGCGTCCTCACACATGGTGAAGATTCATTGCCCACTTAAACCTGCAGCCATGCCCAGTCCCATCCTCAGGAGTGCTCTCTCAGTCTGTGCAGCTGGTTTTCCATCCAAAGTGTTGTGCAAAACTCCAAAAATCCCTATGCAATGCTGCCTCTGAAGCACTAATGCCTATTAATTACAGGGAAAGTAAATCTTTGCATCTTCAAAGCCAGTGGACATCTATCCTTTTGGCTCCTTGGAGAATGCCACGTTATCTTCCAAGTTGGAAAGTCACCAGCCCTATGTGGCAAACCAGAGATGCCAGGCACACGGGCATGTGGGGGACGCTGCTTAATATGCTTTTGCTGGGCTTGGTTTGGGTGACATCTCTTCTGGCTTAGACAAGTCGAGTGTGCAGGCAGAGTTGCTCGTGAGGCAGTAGCTGCAGGGGACAGTTCCCAAAGGTGCTGGGGCTGAGTTGCCCAGTGTGCACACACGTCCCCCGATGTATATACCAAGGGAATATATTTGGGCTTGCATGAGCCTGCTGTGAGTGCTCAGAGCGTGGTGTTTTCTGAGGTTGTGCTTGGAGGAAGGGGTTGCAGGAAGGAATCACTGGCCCGTCTCCACCTGTAAATAAACCCAGCCAGGACACGGCTTTGCCCACCGGCTTGCCATCCTCTGCACTGCCTGATGGAGGGCACAGTCCCTGGCAGCATCATGGCCCTGGCCACCAGCACGGTCCCAGGCGATGCCAGGGCATGGCCGGGGAGGTGGAATGGGCTAGAGGTGGCTCCCACCGGTGGCACGGACAGAGGCACCTCATCTGGGGGCAGAGAAAGGCATGGGTGTGAGTTGTGCCTTTAGGGCCAGAGAGCAGCCCCCGGTCATTCTTCTTCATCAGTGCATTTATTAGTTGACTGGAGGTGGGCAGCGCCTCTCCCCTGTGCCCGCAGGTGGAGACCTGGGGGGAGCAGGTCGCATCATGCCTCTCCTCTCCGGGGGGAGCAGTGGGGCTGCCCGTGCCCTGTGCTGCAGACGGGGCTCTGCCCTCTCCTGGGGAAGATGCTCAGGGATGGGGGCTGCCTCTGTCGGGGGAAGTGTCTCAGTTTCACAGCTGCAGTGGCAGGAGGGTGTCACGCTGACAGCGGGGATCTGCCCCACTTGCCGTCCCCAGCAGGCGGGTGCCCTAATTCCTAGCAGACTCTCCCCATAGCAGCAAGCAACAAAGTAGATCCGGAAATTCCTGAGCTTTGGGAAGTGGGCTTTAATGTAATTAACTGCAACAGAAGAAGAGGTCAGATAATAGGGGCAAAGGTTTCTCTTTAAAATGAAAGGGGAGGTAAATGAAACCAGCTGCCCAGGAGCCAGTGCACTGCCTTCATTAAATATGGGACAATGCTCATGGTCCCACACAGCAGATTGTGGATCTTTCCAGAAAACCATTTTAAAGGCAGCACAAGTCCCGGAGGTGACAGGACAGAGACATATAGCCCCAGGTTCGCCCGGGTGCCTGGCACTGCCCCTCTCTGGGAGGGCTGTGTGCGCCCTGGCCTTGCAGCCTGCCCGAGAACAAGGGCATTTCTGGCTGGCAGCTGTGCTCAGCCCTGCCGCAGTAGACCCTTTGGCAGCAGCTTTTTTGGAGTACTGTTCCCAGCTCTTGTCTTTGTGTCTCGAGTCTCATGCTGCCGTTCCAGCCAGGGATGGGGGCCGGGAATTGGGGTGGTGCATTTCCTCACGCTGGCACAAATCCCTGCCCAGCCCTTGGCGGAGTCCTCCCCCCCACACTGTGCTCTGGTTTGGCCACCTCCGGAGTGATACAGTCACACTTCCCTTTGCAAAGTGCACTGATCCCATCCCGGGTTTCTAGGGCATATTCAAATGGAGGTTTTAGAAATGGGGTAATGTAAATGGAAGAGGGAGAACTGGCCTCAGCTTTGTATAGCATAATAGGGCACCCAAAGTGTCTGTACATGGCCTTTCCTCTGAGACATATGTCTCATCTAGGATTTAGTTGCTAGATCCCTCTTTTCCTTGGCTGGCTCTTCTCAAGTTCCTGCAGATTGTCTGTCTACAGAGATAGTGGCATCAAACTGGGGAACACGATGAGTCAGCTCTGCATGCAATTGCCCGTATCTATTCTCTCTTGTATTAGGAGAAATGGCATGGTCTGTGCCCATGGTGGGCACGCTGAAATCTCCTAGGCTTCAGGGCCAACTCTGGTGCTGCATCATACTCAGAGCCCACTGGAAGATCTGCCAGACTGTGTTGGAGCTGAATAGCTTGTCCATGAGCTACATGTCCTCTGTCTCTGCAGAGCCGTGACTGCCAGAGACCCCTGCCCGCACTGGGGAGGGTCTGTCCTTTGGCACTCAGACCTCGCTGGCATGGGGAGAGGAGGATGTGGGTGCCGCAGCCCCCGGGGCTGGCTGGGCCTGGCTGCCTGTGCACTGCGCTGCTGCCTGGGGAGGTACTTGTCAGCTCTGGAGCTCCCTGCAGCTGCTGCTGGCTTTTTTGGAGGTTGGAGAGTTGCGACTGTTCGGGTTTGTTGTTTTTTTTTTTAAAGTCAAGTGCACTGAGTCATTGTAAATATCAGCAAAGCTGCAGCCTTTGCTCCTGGGAATAATCCACGCCTAACGAGCCCTTCTCCTGCTTTAAAGGCCTGTCAGTTGTCTGCATTTTGCAGATTTCTATACCGCCTTTACTGACAGTTAAAGACCTCTAAAGGAAGTGCCCGAATCTCAGCGACGAAGCCTGCAGCTGGAAACAGCTCACCCGTTCCCGAGTAGCCTGGTAGCAGTGAAGACCTCAGTGCCTCTCTCTTCCTCGCAAGCCTTGTGCAGCTGATGGCATTTTCCCTCTTCCCCAGTTTGGGGAGGTTGAAAGTACCTGTTGGTGTCTGAGAACTTCCCAGGCAGATCTGCAAGAGATCCTTGCCCATCTTACAGAAGCTTGTAATTGTCTTCGTGCTCTGCTTAAATACCCAAAGCTAAGGTGATCCCCTCCTCGCTCCCCCAGGAGACATGCTACCAACAAGATTTCCTGATACTGAAGCAGGTTTATTTCTGCCTTTCATCCCTCTGCCAGTCCCCATTTCTCTGGGTTGTTAATGAAGGTGTCAAAACAATGTGACCGTGGCACTGTCCCGGGGCATTTGTCTTCCCTGCAGGGCTGTGCTCAGCACAGCAGCACCTTCCCAGGCTGCCTCCTCTGCACGGTCCCTGGGAGGGCAGAGCCTTCTCTGGGGCTGCTCCTGGAGAGATGTTCCTCTCCCTTGGCAGCGGAGCTATAGGTCAGAGCACACCTTGCACTTGGAGGAAACAATGAGGAGATGCAACCTTGCCTTTGCTTTCTGCGGGATTTTTTTGGGACCATATCGGCTTGCACAGACAAACTGAACCCTGCAGAAAGCTCACTGCATTGGAGGAGCCATATGCAGACTGAGGTCTCTCTAACTCCATCTTTTCCCATTTAATACAACCTTATTTTTATGGCAATCTCTGCCCTTAGCACCTTCCAGTTGACACAGACATACAGAAATGCCTCTTTCCTCCTTCCCTGGGTTATACAACGTTGGAGTGAAACTGGGCACGATCCCATGCTTCTCTGGGGACACAGCCGGGACTATGTGTCTGGGGGAGGATTGGCAGAAGAGACTTCTCATTTAATGCATTTCTGTTCTGGGCCAGTTAGTCCTGGTGTTGCTCCCCTTTCACCGCAGCCCTGCACAGCTCCAAGTGCATTTACCCTGTTACCTGGGTAGTGACTTGGAGCAGTGAGATGCAAAAATCCTGTCTGAGCACTCGTGCATGTTGCATGTGTGCTCTGGCTGAGGCTGAGTTAGCCGGCAGCATCCTTTGGGGATGCTCCTGCATTCCAGCACCCAAGTGAAGCAGCCACTATGGCCACTGCAGCTGCACGCTGGTGTGGATGAGATGCATATTATGGAGAAATCAGCCCCGGAAGCCTGAATCCGCCGTTCTTCAGACCCCAGCTCTTCAGCCTGTTATGCATCCCAGCACTCATGGCTGCACTGAAGTCTGTGGAGAGGGAGAAGGGTCTGTGTAACTCTGGTGGATGTGGCTCCAGCGAGGGATGGGAGGCAGTGGCAGGGCCCTGTCAGCCCCAGCCAGAGCTGCTGTAATTCCCATGCACCTCCATCACGCCAGCACAGCTCCAACATGCTCCGGGGCTCACTCTGTCAAGCAGCTGATGCACGCTGCAGATTTGGGAGAAGATTCAGAAAGTTTCTCTTTCAAAACCTGTTTTTCAGCCAAACAGCCATCCCAAGGGTATGCCAGTGCATGCTGCAGGCATCCTGGTGTCCCTGCATGGCTGGGAGGAGCCTCTGGGAGATGTGCAAGGGCTGCCACTGCTCCTTGTGTGGGGGCAGAGGTGCCAGTCCCAGACACTTCCTCAGGAGGAGCTGGCTGGGATTACCTCCAGCCACAGGGTATTTGCACTCCAGGACAGACTGCTTCACCTTATGTCCTGGAGCCAGGAGACAGTATTGAGGCATTTCAGAGCCTTCCTCCCACACTTAGAGACGGATGATTCACATCATGATTGGCAGCACTATAGCTGTGTTTTATATAAGCAAGCACGTGGAGAGCAGGCATCAGCCCTCTGTACGGGAAACGTTCCCTGGCATTCCCAGGGCAGAAGGGATTTCTGTGAGAGCAGGACTTCCCCTGCAGGTAATGGACATGGCGTTTCTCGAGCAGGGGATTTGGCTGTGGACTTTGCTGGGAGAGCGAGCCAGGAAGGTGCAGGTGGTGCAGGGGTGCTGGGAGCAGGGCTCACACTGGTGCCATAGGTCCTCTGCCCGTGCACCCCACGGCCACTAATCCTTGCTCAGAAACACCATCAGGGCCTAGCCTGGAGGGTTGTTATGGCAGCAGGATGTCCAGGAGCAATTCTGGTTCTCAGACTAGAAGAGGCTCTATACAGTCTCCCCTGCAGACCAGCCATTGAATGGAGAGTGTCCCACAACCCAGGCAGAGTGATGCAGTTATTCCCACGGCTGGGAGCACAGGCAGCCTCCCCTGTTCCCTCCTGGGTGTTTACTGCAGCAATTTCCAGTGTGGCTTAGAGGGTGTTTCCCGCTTGAGACCCTTCTCCTCCCTGGTGTCTGCGTAGTGTCCTCCTGTGGCTAAGGGGCCCTTCGTTTCAGCCATTAGATGTGCATCTTCCATTTTGCCATCCCGTAAGAGCAATCTTTCCAGTAGCAATGATACTGGGCCCAGGGCTGACTGGCTTATCTGCCTTTTGGAAACAGGGTGTCCCTAAGACAGGGGATGCGTACAGACGGGACGAGCCGGGTGAGCAGAAGATCTCCCAAGATCTCCCTGGTGGTGGAGCCCAGGCGCTGCTATCGCAGGCATCGTGTTGGAGGGTCTCTTTCCGTGGTGTCTCCATGAGATCAGTGCAGAGGGTGCTGCAAAGCCTTTGCAGGTGGTGTTTTGCTCCCAGCATTTTCCGTTCTGCTCCCAGCGTTTCACCAGCAATAGTGCAAAACTTCCTGTGGTTTCTGCAGTGCGGGTTTCTCAGCGTTCAGGGTGCATCCACCTCACGCCCTGTTTGGAGACTGAAAGCATCTGCCAGACACAGGCACGGCCGAAGGACCAGGGCAGGGCAGAGTGCAAGCAGGGACTCCCTCAGAGCAGAGGAGTTTTCTTGGTGTGGGGCAGCAGGATGGGAGGACGTGGTTCGGGGCAGAGCTACTCCCAGCTGCCTGATCCTTGTCTTCTTATTTTCATTCCAGTTACTACATTGATGGCCGAGTGGCCAAAGTGACGGACTTCCTGAAAACGCGCCTGTTAGACACGCTCTCTGACCAGATCAGGAAAATCCAGAAAGTGCGTGAGTGCAAAGGGTCTGCGAGGGGGCACCGTGCCCGCGGTGCCTGGCCTTGGCACAGCTCGTGGCCGGGGCTCTGGCCTCAGCACCGACACGCTCCCAGGGGAGCTGGCGTGGGGCAGCGATGGAGGGCGGCTGCTGGG